TCGTGCGATGTGTAAACGTCGCCACTGGGTTCGTTCCACGCTGCGCGCGCCCGATAATTGTTAAACAAGCTCCACGTGACGCGATCAGAAAATTAACTCTGTCAAAATGAGCGGATGTAGATTTGAGCCAAAGGCGCAGCCCTGCAGCTTTTCACTCAGGCCACTGCTGGCTCAAGAGCTCCACCAACTCGAGCCAGAGCTCATCTGCCGGTCGACTCGCGTATTGAAGCGATTCACACCGCTCAGTGGGACAGAGGCGGGCAGTGGATTTAAGAAACGTTCCCCATTGTTTCAACTGTGGTGCCGGGAGATAGTCGAATCCAAGGCCGTAATTATAATATATATTGGGGGAGACACATCCCCCCCCCAATATTCAAATATGCTCAAAATGTCCCCCCCAATATATTGCTATAAAATAGATTTCTGTTTATATGATTGTGGTTATGGTTGTACTTTATAAATCCCTAATCTCTGCCATTACATACAATGAAACAAGAAAAGGTAAAAAAGAAGAAACAGAGCAATATAATACAATACCACTATTAGACATTATTGTTAAAAATAAATAAAATGTCAATCCCATGCGTTAGTGAATTTTTTTTTATATTTTAGGCAGGAAATTCGTTTTCAAATTTAGATTTTTTTTCTGGGGGAGAACCCCCAGACCCCCTGGAAGATTTGGGTCCCCTCCAATGTTGACTCCATGGCTACGGCCTTGGTCGAATCGAACCGGCAACCTCTGGATTGCAAGGCCAGTGCACCTGCTCGTCATTCTCGCCCCACCACCACCACCACTGTGCTTGGTAGCATCCCTAATAATAATAATAATGATGCAATATGGAACGTAGAATGGGAGAATATAAATAGCCCTCATCCAAACCCAAACCACCTGTTGCAGCCGGGAAATATCGGTTCACCCACGTGAGACGTGTGACATTTGAGCCTGCAGACGATTGTTGGATTGTTCGTCGTTGTAAACGCAGCAATACAAAACAGCGCGCTAGAGACACGCGCACTGCCACGCGAACAGGTAAACGGGTAACACGTGGGTTTAGCCAGACAGGCGTGCTACTACGACACGTTTCAGTGAGCAGGGCCGTTCATAGCGGGTAGGGGGTGGGGGGCTGCGGGTCCCGGGGCAACTCACTCTGTGTACCCCCCCCCCCCCCAACAACGCCTTCAAACTAAACCGGGAGTATCACATATACAACTGTGACGTCGTATAGTGGCCCCACCCCACCCCCCAAAGCTCAGGGCCCCGGGCGGTCGCCGCAGATTCGCCGTTACTCCTAGGGAACCGCTCTGCCGCGTAAGCTCACAGCCGTCCAGATGAGCCGAGGTAGCGTGCGAAACAAAGCCGAACAACGCCCGGCGTTTTCTGCGTTAAAGCCAAAATAATGTAACCTCCAGGGTTTAAACGCGATGGTGATATCGGCGTTGTGAGGAAAGAATCCGTCGCGAAATCTCGCGCAGCGGCGGACCGAGAACTGTCCGCGGAAGTGGATATCGCAGAGCTACTCATGAGATGTATGTCCGATGAAGAAGGGCCGTTGCACACGTCGCGATGTATATATTATATTGCTGTGAAGGTCACACGGTGTTATTGACGAAAGTGTTGCGGAGTTTGTCTGTTATCTGTGATTGTTTCACCACTACTGCCAACGCAGCAGAAGCATCCAAATAATGCGTTAACTTTATGAGATCTCGGGGTTGATCGATCGGAGTTCACTGTGGTGGTGGTGTCCCCGGTGTGGAACTCCCGATTGGAACCCCGCCACCCCAGGTTGTAGAACTCGCTGGCGTTGGGGATCAGCCTCTCGGACAATGTCGATTATTTTTAAGTTCTAACTTTAAGTTCTAACTTTTAAAATAAACCCATCCATTTTTTTAACAACAGCTTTCTTCCAACCGGCTACATTCCTCGCTGGCTCTTATTCTAAATGAGTATCTTTTATATTTTTCACGCACGGCGCCTTGATACATCGTAAAAAGGCGCCTAACGAGTCTACATTATTATTATTATCCCATCGAGGAGTGACACGTGTACCACACGGTTAGAAGACAACACTCCCCCCCCCCAAAGACAGAGCCACCGTTTAGCCTTAACAACACACAACCGGCGTGCCGTGCTAGTAACGAGGTGGTACGTTCTGCTTCCGTGACAAACCTTACTAATTGGCTGTGTCGGGTGGTGGCGGGTTTAACGACACATTTATATATTTACGCCATCTAACCCGCAACAAACAAAACCTATAGTATGGATGATATCGGTCACGAAAGCATCCTACGTGTTGGCACAATTATTGCCTGCGGGCAGTGTCCTCAGTCCCTGCGCCTCTTGCGACCGCCGGGCTCAGTGGTGAGGAAGTCGCGCACAGAGCACGGCACAGGGGCCTGCAAATTCCACAGCACGCTGTGTCTCTCGTGGCCCAGGAGGCGGCCAGGCCACTGACTTGCTTCAACAACAACAACCACAACAACAACTCACCGTGCCCGTTTCTAATTTTGTTTGCGACGCTGCGTCGGCAGTGACGCTTCGGAGACAAACAACAAACACGAAAAACGCATTCTCGTCAACAACGCCGTGGCCCGAAGGGGATGACATTTTATTTTTTCAACTTTTCGGGGCCAATGGAGCTTGTTCGTTTCTCTGCTGTTCTTCAGGCAAAGGACACTCAACCGACTGCGCCCGGGCGACTGGTTTATGCTGGTCCTGGATCTGACTCGGATAAGATAAGCAATCTACAGCCAACGAAGAAGAAGATCCCGTCTGCGTAATCGCGTCTTCACATCTCTGAGAGGCCGGGGTGAAGGGAGGCGAGAGTTGAACCGCGCACAGGGAGAGGCGCGTTATATATTTATTTATATTAAAAGGTCCAAATACCAGAGTGTCACATACCACATCTAAAGCCACAGAGTTTCCAACACACACACACACACATATACACAAACACAAGACAAAGATCCCCCGTATAGCCTGTAACAGGCTGTAGGGGCAAGTGCTGTTAGCGAGTGGCACCTATGAAGACTGGCACGACGAGGTGGGTGGCCACCACCACGCCCGGCCGCCTTTGTCTCCCTCGTGGCGATGTTTACACACACCACGCCAGGTGCTCATCTTAGGCCGAGTTGATCTAGGGGAGGCCCAGAACCGGTTCAGAGGTTCGCCACTGATGTTGACCGTGTCAAACTCGACACAGACACACACAGAACGTGACGCGCCACGCGTGTTGGTACTGTGTATTGACATTGGCAATCAAAAGGGACACCACCAGCCAATACTGACAAAAAAAACACAACACAAAGATCCCACCCCCCCCCCCCCCCCCCCCCGTATCGCCTACAGAGACTGTTGGGGCGAGTGCTGTTAGCGACTAACACCCATGAAGTTACGGGACAGTACACGAGGGGGTGGTGTGGTCAGAATCACGCTCGGCCGCCTTTGTCTTCCCAGGTTCCACGAGATGACACACAAAAGGGTTTGTGCAGAGGGTTGAGGGTTCTTCACGATCACGGTGGGCAGGACCGCATTCATGTTATGAGGGGGCTAAGGCTAATAGCAGGGAAGGCTGAAGTATTACTTACATATGCTTGCAACAACAAAACAAAGTCATCAAACATTTATTTATTCACCTTTGTAAAATTAACAAAATGTATTCGACTCGAGGTGAATTCATCAAACGTAAATCACTCCCTACACATTTTTTTTTCAGACAAAATTAATCTTTCCTAGATCACGTTGTGGCAAAGTCAAGCACGGCGTCATCGTAATTCAAACACGAAAAATGCTCAACTCTAGAATGGAGGGTCTGACGGAGGAGGGCCTACACAATTTGAGGCCTGATTATCCTGTGGGTTAAAAACCGGCTCTGAAAAAATGTGATGTCAGTTCAACGTCGGTTTTAAACCGGGGGGGGGGGGGGGGGGGGGGGGTGGGGGGGTTGACCGTATTTTTTGTTTCTCCAAATTGTCTTCCAACTTTTGCTTTCGGGGCCACGGTGTCTTCCGACGAGGACATGTCGTCCACCTGGACCTCTTGTCGTGGTGGGCAGAGTGCAATGGAATCCACTTCAAGAGGCCCCTCTCCACGCCAGATGTCACCATCGAGTCCGGTGGTCTTCGCCAATCTTCAGAGGGGGGGCCGCTTTCGTCGATAGGCCATCGTCAGTGTGAGGGCCGCCAACATTTGAAACCATTGAGGGTTTGACAGCAGCACGATGATGATAAGGGGGGAGGCCGCAATAAAGGTCACCAGGGGCCCGCAGGCCTTGCAATGAAGAACACTGACCAATAGGGTGGCCACAGAGTGACGAGACATACGATCATTGAATTTATTTCAACGCTGGTATTAACATAGTGTTTATTCTTTTAGATAATATTTTATCCATTATCAATATTCATACCGATGCGTCTTCTTCTTCCAGTGGGGGTCACCTCTAATCTATCGTTTACAAAACGCCACCAAGAGAACCCGGAATGAATAGAGACAAAACGTTATAGATGAATGTTCAAAGATTACACCTGTAATCGCAAAACAAAAGTTCCAAATTCATTTCGTGGGCTTTTTGGGTCTCTGTGAGTCTATGGGTCTCTGAGTTAGTCTGTGGATCTCTCTGTACGAGTATATGAGTCTATGTGCGAGTCTATGGATCTCTGTTTATGAGTCTGGGTCTGTGTGAGTCTTTAGGTATCTTTGTTAGTATACGAGCCTGTGTGCGAGTCTATGGGTCTCTGCGTTAGTCTGTGGATCTCTCTGTGCGAGTCTTTAGGTCTCTGTGTAAGTATACGAGTCTCTGTGTGAGTCTATGGATCTCTGTGTGTGAGCCTATGGATCTGTGTGTGAGTCTATGGACTTCAATGCGAACTCATGCGAGCGCTGTCCACGAGTACTCGTTATCCTCTGAAGCTGGTAGCTGGGTTCACGACGTAGACATCGATTAATAGTCGCTACTCGCTTCACATTCACACGGAAAAAAGGAGTCGGGAAGGCCACAAAAGTATACATAGTACCAAAAAAAGGAAAATGCATTTACTGGGAAGAACGATATTAATCAACATCTTAACGATGAAAGGCGTTAATGTCGACAATTTCCATTGTTAAATGTTGAACGCGACTAGGCTTGTACCGATGTTCAACTCTTGGCGAACCACGCTTCGTCACACAGCTGCCAGAGCCGTCCCACACGCGAATGTTTCCCCGCGCGTCGCAGGCAAAGCGCCCGGAGCAACAAGTCCCTTGGGGTGGCGGTCCAACCCGTGACAAGGCGAGAGGTTGGCATAGGCCCTGGTACAAGGAATGAAATGAGCCCCCTCCCCCCCACCACCCTCTTTACAATTTCCTCCTCTTTGTAGCCTGGCATCTGCTGCCCCCCCCCACCACCCTGCGCAGTTGCACCGCCTGCGCACGCGACCGCCAAGGCCACGGACTCCTCAACGGGTTCGAGAGCCGCGTGAATTATTAAAAACTCAGAACCCGCCGCCGCTGGCGTTTCGGCGAATTAAAACAGACGCCTGCATGAGCCAGAAGCGCGGTGCGTGTGCGAGGTCTTGTGACAGCCAATTGTTTATTTATTCATTTTAACAAAAAAAATCTGCCACCCACATTCGAGGAAGGGCTGGAGCGGTCGTGCCGCTCTGAACTACGTTGCCGAGTATCAATGTGCTCGCGACCACTTCCTACTCCCCGTCTCGTACTTACGAGGAACAACAAAGGGAGAACGTAGAGTCAAAGGTCACTTCATGCTTGACGCGATGATTGCGTACCAACAACAAAGTGGAGGTGGGAAGGGGGGGGACGTACTGCGGGGGGCAGGGGGGGCGCGGTCAAACAACCGTTTTTTTTTAATTTTCCCACCGGCACACCTTCACGCAGGCACCTCCACGGTTACGGCTGATTTTTGTGCCGAGCCGAGCCAGAACCCAAGCTGTGGCACTCTGGCCTCACAAGAAGAGTTGTTTTGTTTTGTTTCCGTGTTCCCCCGCGCCTCGTGGCGCGGTGTGGTCGGGCTCGCGTCTTTTTTTTGTAATAAAAAAATATGTAAAACGAAAAAAAAGATAATATTGTTTCTGTTGCTCCCTTGTTAAAATAGCTGGCCAAATGGGATCACCCGTGTGACAAATGTATACTCAAGGTAAAACTACGGCGAGGGAAATCTGTGGTTAAGCATTTCCGAAGGTGGGACACCCCCCCCCCTGCCCCCTCAACTTAAAAACTCAGATTTTTTTGCTCGATGAGGGGCCAAGCAGGGCCACGGGGCGGGGTTAATAATTCGTCAAGCGTAGCGTGCGACACGTTAGCGGCATCAGCTCGGGTTCCCGCAGTGGAAAAACAACCCCGGCGGGCCTCCTGAGCTAAGCCGGGGCAGCACGGGGCCACGGCCGTGGCACGGCTCGCAATTTACCGGTGGAAAAGAATCAGAAGAGGGAACCGCGAGGGACTACAGTACGTGGTGCACCAGACGACATGCGCGAGAGAGAGTGAGCGTTAAAATGTAATGCAACGGGATCGACAAAATAAACACCAAAAATAATGTTTTACAATCATCCTATGTAGACCTGACACTTAGAGCTATCGTCAGAATGTTACAGATTATTATCATCAGGAATTTTACACCATGAAGTTGAGATGAGACATTTGCCTCGAGATTAATAATAATAACAATAATAATACAATTACAATCAATCTTGTTGCTTAAGTAAAGGAATTAAAAAATAAAACATACGTTCAACCACTTTATTTAATAGTTGCCGGCTTAAAGTATTCTTATTGCAGCTAGAGTTAACTATGATTAAGAGAGTCCACCCCCCTTAACCGTACCGCATGGAAGTTTGCCAGGGACGGTGCAAAGAACGTCGGGAGAGGTGATGGGAAGAGGACAGTAAAAGTGAGGCTTCGAGACGACCCCCAACACCCCGATTTCCCAAAAAACATCCTCCGGGTGGGCAGGCTTCCGAAAGGAAAAACACAACTCGCACGGGATCTTTCCGGAACTCCTCGACGGCAAGACGTTTGAACGGTGTGCATACGCGCGCGGTGCCAAGCCGGCCGGTGAAATTATTTCGCGGAAATCTTTTCCCCCCCACCCCACCGCCCACCGCCCGGACCCCGCGCACGAACACCGGTTGATGACCGACCGGCGCGCCGTTGTCACGGCCAGCAGAGCGGACCGGCGGAGAGCGGCAGACGGAGGAGACACGACCCCCATGACGGGTCACGGAGCCCGGCCGTCTGCTCGTACCTCGAGTCGTCCGGCGAATGCGTACCTTTGTTTGTCCGTGTTAACCACGATCGTGTACCTCAAGAGTTAAAACCACACACACACACACAACAACACACGCGCGCACACACTCTGTATATCTCTCCCCCTTTTCCTTGCATAGCTGCACGACTGCCACTCGTGACGACGGTGACAACGCGACGACGAGGTGACGATGCGGTGACGACGTGGTGATGTCACGGTGACGTCGCAGTGATGACGTGGTGACGTTGCGGTGACATCGCAGTGACAACGTCGCGGTGACGTCGCAGTGACGACGTCGTGGTGACGTCGCGGTGAACGTCGCCATGACGATGTCGTGGTGAAGTCGCGGCAACGTCGCGGTGATGTCTCAGTGACATCGCGGTGAAGACGACGTGGTGACGTCACGACGATGACGTGACGACGTGGCTACAACGATGACGCGATAACGACATTGCGGTGACGCCGTCGCGGTGACGCCGTCGCGGTGACGCGAGCAGTGTTTTGCTTTCCCATTGCGGCCGGTTTGTGCGCGAGTGGCGTCGCACCTCCGAACACCAGCGGCTGAGGTGAAGCAGTGGGGAGGGCGTGGTGAGTTAGGGAGGTGAGGGAGGCGAGGTGAGTGAGGCGAGGTAGGGTGGCGTGGCGAGTTAGGGAAGTTAGGGTGGCGAGGTGGGTTAGGGCGGCGTGCCGAGTAAAGCTACCAAATGTCCAGGTTTGCCCGGGGCAGTCCCGTTGCGCCTGGTGTCCCCCCTACAACGTTGGGGAAAGTTGGGATTCGGTCGCTGGTTTTAACACCACTCTGACCTCACGCGCGACCCACAATACAGCAGGCTAAGGGGCGGGGCTACCTGAGGAGGGGGCGGGGCTGCTGGCAGAGGGAGGGGCCTACCGTGCGTCCTGGTTGTGCCTCACAGACATTTGGTAGCTTTAAAGTTCGGGAGAGGTGGATTAGGGAGGTATGAAGACAGCAGCGCCGACTGGTTACTCAGGACACCCGAACGAGGGAGGCCAAGGTGGCCAATAACGATTTGGGGAGAGGCAGGAAAGAGAGGAACATGGATAAACCGAACATCCAATGACTTTGAACGAACACCAAGCAGTTATACGACGCGGATGGCATTTACAAGAACGTAGAACGAAAGAAGGCACAAGCTCCCCCCGCCCCCCCTCCATTCCTCCCTGCGTCCACGCCGACAACGATCCCTCCCCGGTCAGAGCTGACGCTTTTCGGAAGGCTGCACGGGAATTGCAAGACGGCCGACCAAACCGGCGTCGTTCGATTCTCTCGTCAAAAGCCCGGGTCGCTGGCTAGTCTGCGACCAGGGTAAGGTTCCTTAGGCTGAGGTCCGGTTGCGAAGGCCAAGGTCTGGTCGCTGATGCTTAGAAGCTGAGGCCGCGTAGCCAACGGCTTTCTGAGGGACCAGCGGCCTCTTGCGGGAAACGGGGTGGGGTGGGGGCCCTCTTGGAATTGCAACTCCGCGGCGTGCAGGTAAAGACACGGCGACGAATCCGGCTTCGTTACAGATCAAGGCGGCGCGCCGATGGACTGGGAACACTGAGCAGCGACTGAAGCCAAATTTGAGGCGACGTAAAATAATGTTACGGCGGGTTGCGCATCCCCCCCTGCCGCAGGTTATTAACCTCGCGGCTGGACACGTCTCGAGAAGGACGCCACATCGTCCCAAGGACGCCACATCGTCTCAAGAAGGACTCCCACATCGTCTCAAGAAGGACACCACATCGTCCCAAGGACACCACATCATCTCAAGAAGGACTCCCACATCGTCTCAAGAAGGACACCACATCGTCTCAAGAAGGACACCACATCGTCCCAAGGACACCACATCATCTCAAGAAGGACACCACATCGTCTCAAGAAGGACACCACATCGTCCCAAGGACACCACATCGTCTCAAGAAGGACACCACATCGTCCCAAGGACGCCACATCGTCCCAAGGACACCACATCATCTCAAGAAGGACTCCCACATCGTCTCAAGAAGGACACCACATCGTCTCAAGAAGGACACCACATCATCTCAAGAAGGACACCACATCGTCTCAAGAAGGACATCACATCATCTCAAGGACACCACATCATCTCAAGAAGGACACCACATCGTCTCAAGAAGGACACCACATCGTCTCAAGAAGGACACCACATCGTCTCAAGAAGGACACCACATCGTCTCAAGAAGGACACCACATCGTCTCAAGAAGAACACCACATCGTCTCAAGGACTCCCACATCGTCTCGAGAAGGGATGATGGCCGGCGGCGGGGGCTAGGAAGAAGGAATTGCAGGTAAAGGAGGGAACGGGCCAGAGAGGGCCTCCACGCACAGATGGGGGCAATGGAATCGGCTATTGTGCATCGTGTGACCGTGACAACGGTTTGAGGATACCCTCATCCAGCAGTGAATAAACGAGGTGAATTTTATGTGACCGGACAATGAGCGAGTTCTGTGCCTTTATAGCAATGCTCAGAACTCAGGGCTTCGGCCTGGAGACCAAGGCTGCTGGGGCCGATCCCCTCAGGTGGGATACGAGTGCGAGTGATCTGCGAGTGAGCTGCAAGTGAGGTGCGAGTGAGCTGCAAGTGAGGTGAAAGTTTAGTGAGTGAGGTGCGAGTGAGGGGCGAGTGCAGAGTGCAGGAGGCTCGAGCCTAGGCGTAGATCTCTTGCGGCGGCGCCTTCTGATATCCGGCCTGGTAGGACTTGTTCTGCTCCAGCGCGTAGCTGCCAGCATCCTTCTTCTTGAGGCGGTGGACGAGCAGCACCACGAGCAGCACCGCGAGCAGGATGCCAACCGCGCCGCCGGCAATCACCGCTGTGGGGGGGGGGGGGGGGGGGGGGGTGGGGAGGGAGGGGGTGAGACGCGTAAACGGACGTCTGCATTGGCGCACGCAAACTCGGCACGGCGCGCGACGTGGACGCGCACGCGCGTGCAGGCAGATGCACAAGCGACACACGAAGACAAAGGTCCCCCGCGCAGCCATGACAGACTGTTGCGGCAAGAGCTGTCAGCGAACTCCTCTGAAGGTGCAAGCACGGCGCACGAATGGGAGGGGGGTTGCCAACACCGTGCCCGGTCACACCCGCGAACACACGCACGTGACAACGCAGACGCACGCACGCGCGCATCTGTGCGCGTGCGTGCCACATGCACACAGCCTTCGGAGCAATTCCACAATAGATGAGGAAGGTGAAACCACCGCAAAAACGTCACGCAGAGACGATTGTAAGACGATCCAACTAGAAGGAGCATAAACCTGCATTGCCGTGAGGAAGGCACCACAAATGAAATCCGGCCAAATGCGTGGAAGGGTTTTGCCATAAACCTAGACGTGAAAACAGCACTGAAAGGAAACACAGTGCAATAAGTACGTACGCACGTATGCACGCACGCACGCACACACACGCACGCACACGCACGCACGCGCGAACTTCTCTTTGCAGGTGCCGTGACGGCACGCGACATTGTCCTGTGGAGGATTCTCATCGTGCGGCTTGAAACGCAACGTCAATATGAGCACGGGGATTATTTTTATTCCCACCGCTAACTGTCGACCATCTTAATTCACATTCTCGACGCGTCGTACATTCCTGCACGAAGCACGCTGCCCCGGCGTTACGGGCGTCAGGGTCGCGAGTGACCTCATCTACGGGGCTCGCCGTTGGGATCTTAATTGGGCTGGCCGAACGTCTTCTATCGAATCCTCGACGCCAAGTTGGAAAGCGTCGCAGACTCCACGCGGTTGCGCGAGATTTCTTTCCATTCCCTCTCTCTCCCTATCTCCCCACGCACAGCACGCGCGAACAGCAGGGCGGGGGACATCGGCCACTCACCGGCCAAGACCTCCGTCTTGTCGAAGAAACCTTGGCCCTGGCTGTTGGACTTCTCGATGTTGCTGCTCAAGGACGGCGGCGGGGCGCTCGTCGCGAGCTCCACCGCGGTGCGGCCGTACCCAACGTTGTTGCCCAGGCGCACGCGCGACGGGGCCTACGCAACCATCGCACGAAACAAAGGTCCCCCGTGTAACCTTCACAGACGACCTTCGGGGCAGGCGATGGTCTAGCGAAGGCCGACGCAGCACGCCAAGGGGGGTGGGGGGGGGGGTAGGGTGGCCAGCACCGCGCCCGGCCGCCTTTGTCTCCGCAGTGGCGATGTTTGCTACCACATGCCACACCGGGTACTCATTTGAGGCCGAGTCGACCTAGGGGCACCGGTTCAGATAATCGTCGCCGGTGTTGGCCGCGAGCGGGAATCGAACTCGGATCGCCGGGTTCGTAGCGCAGCGCGCGCTAACCGCTGCACCACCGCTCCCACGTATTCACACACACACACAGGCACAGTCCACCAATAAGCTTACGACACCACTGAAAAAAAACGCAGCAAGGCAGCTGAGTTTGTTTACACACACACGCACACACGCGCTGCACAAACGTGCGGCGCGTTTGAACGCTAACTTCAACAAACAGTCGCGTTGTGTGCATGCGTGTGGGTGCGTGCGTGGCTGTGCGTACCTCTGTGACTGGACGTTTGCTCACCACGGAAATGGAGCCTGCGGGGTGACATGCGGCACACGTTACACGGCACACGGTCTCACACTATAGTCCACGTCGCACAAAGGCAAAGCTCCCCCGAATAGCCTTGATAGGCTGGTGGGGCAAGAGTTGTTAGCGAGTAGCAGCTATGAAAGCTGGCACGGCACACTAGGAGGTAGATGGCCAGCACAACGCCCGTCTAACCTTATCTCTCTAGAGGTGATGTTTACACACTGCACCAGATACTCCTTTGAGGCTGAGTCGACCTAGGGGAGGCGCAGGACCGGTTCAGATAATCGTCTCTACCCTATCCCTACCTCCCGTCTCTACCCCCGTCTCTACCCCCATCCCTACCCCTATCCCTACCCCCATCTCTACCCCTATCCCTATCCCTACCCCCGTCTCTACCCCCATCCCTATCCCTACCCCTGTCTCTACCCCCCGTCTCTACCCCCATCCCTATCCCTACCCCCGTCTCTACCCCTATCCCTACCCCCCGTCTCTACCCCCGTCTCTACCCCCATCCCTACCCCTATCCCTACCCCCGTCTCTACCCCTATCCCTATCCCTACCCCCGTCTCTACCCCCTGTCTCTACCCCCCGTCTCTACCCCCGTCTCTACCCCCATCTCTACCCCCGTCTCTACCCCCGTCTCTACCCCCATCCCTATCCCTACCCACGTCTCTACCCCCGTCTCTACCCCCATCCCTACCCCTATCCCTATCCCCATCTCTACCCCCCGTCTCTACCCCCATCCCTACCCCCGTCTCTATCCCTACCCTCCGTCTCTACCCCTATCCCTACCCCTATCCCTACCCCTATCCCTACCCCTTCGTCTACCTCCCACCCCACCTCCACCCTATCTCCCCCCCCCCCGTTTATTCCTACCGTTGCGCTGCTCACCAGACGCGGAGCCCTCCGTGTCGTCGTCGTCGAAGGAGCTTTCGTCGTCCGAGAAGTTGCCGGAGCCCTCCTGCTGGGGTTCAAGAAAGACGTCATCTTCCGCCGGCAGCACCTGTGACGTGTCGGGACACACGCACACACACGCACACACGCACACACGCACACACACACACACACGGACAGACAGCCAGGGACATAGGAAAACGGTGGTCAGTGCAGGAAAAATTGTACTGTACGATGCACCCGCATCTATCCTTGCTGTCTTCACCACATGGCTGGGTGGGTGGATGGGTGGCTGAGGGGTGGGTGGCTTGGTGCCCGGGTGGCTGGGTCGCTGGATCGCTGGGTCGCTGGATGGCTGGGTGGGTGGCTTGGTGGGTGACTGGGTGGGTGACTGGCTGGGTGGGTGACTGGCTGGGTGGGTGACTGGCTGGGTGGGTGACTGGGTGACTAGCTGGGTGGCTGGCTGCGTCACTGGGTGGGTGACTGGTGGGTGGCTGGGTGGGTGGCTGGGTGACTGGCTGGGTGACTGGGTGAGTGGCTAGGTAGGTGACTGGGTGGGTGACTGGGTGGGTGGCTGGGTGACTAGCTAGGTAGCTTGCTGGGTGGCTTGGTGGATGACTGGGTGGGTGGCTGACTTGCTGGGTGGGTGGCTGGGTGGGTGGGTGACTGGCTGGGTGACTGGGTGGGTGGGTGGCTGGGTGGAGGAATTGAATCGCGGGAGAAGATGGAGCGAATTGATCCACCCGGTGACTGAAAAAAACCCAACAACAACTGGGGGTTGCGAGAGCCTCGTGCGCGATTGGCTGGAGCGGCGGCACCAAGCGCTTGGCCTGGCGCTCAGCCTCGTTCACGTTCCTGCGTCACCAAATGAACAAAATGTTTCACAACAAACGACTCCGGGGGAGGGCCGCGGGGCTCCCATCGAGCCGCGAGCGATCGACAATCGAGCGCTCGTGGCGCGCGCTTTCCTCTTTCCGGGTTATTTATTCATACATTCTTCTTCAACGACAACAACAACAACAAGTAGGACGACGACAACAGCAGAGAGAGAGAGAGACGCAAAACACCCACGGTGCGCACGACGGAGAAATAAAAAAACAATCGCAGCCATCGCCCAGCCGAGGCCGTGGGGGGGAGGGGGGGTCAGGGGGAACACGCTCCGAGGGGGGCCAGCTCAGCCCAGTTCTGGCACGAGGAGGGGGGGTGAGCCCCCTTTTCGGCCACTGACAGAGACCCCCCCCCCCCCACTTGCGCCGAGATCGGCATCCACTTCCCCGTGGGCCTTTGTCGGCGGCGCAGCTCCTGCAGGAGTTTCAGGATTGGGTCGTGGGAATTACAAACCAAAAAAATATATAATGCTCGTAATTACTGGTGAAATGTGACGGTACTCGCATTGGACACGTTGTGGGTTTTACTCTCCAACACGCCCGTGAGCTCAATAAGTAACGAATTGGCACGTTCCATTTACGTGACAAACCTTACTAATTGGCTGTGCCGGGTGGTGGCGGGTTTAACGACACATTTATATATTTACGTGATCTAACCCCCCAAAATAAATCTCTATTCTAGATAATATTGGTCGCGAAAGCATACTACTACTACAACGAGTTAAACGAAAAAAATACATATTTGAGTCCCCCAATGTCCACAGAGGTCAAGGGAAATGAGTGGGCAGAAAAGCCAAATCATAATTCCTACTCCGCTTGTTGTGCCCGGGAGAAGCCTCCCTGCCAGGTTGTCACAGTGGGCGGCGATGCTTGCCGGTGTGCGCTCCCGGTGAGTAATGCGCGGGGAAATGTTTTCATGTTTGGCAAGTTTGGGCCGTGACTCTCGCAGAATGACATCACAGGGTCCCCCATCACGGGGTCCCCCAACGTGCGCCGCGAAGCAGAGGACGCCTTGCATCGCTGGGGTTGGCACGCCCGCAGCAATAACCGGGGCCGCCGCCAAGTTCCAACCTCTGCCGGACTTCCGATACTAGCACGGCTGGCTACGCACGGCGCCCAAGAAGTTCAACGCATGCACGCACGCACAAACCAGCGGGAAAACTCTGCAACTGCGAAAACCCAACGCAACGAACGGTGAACGCGTGGCTGGAGAAGCGCCACGCGACCCACCACAGCACGAGAGGCGTGGGAAGCGCCACGGGAGGCCTCGCATCTCGCGGAGCTTGGGAACGCAGGGGCCCCAAGTGGCCTTTCCCGGGGCCCTTCCTGCTGGACCGCCGGGCTACCAGGTTCCCACCGTCCGTGGAAACGTGCCGCCACCACTGGAGGGGTAATGTGGTTTTAGTGAACTTTCTTTAATTTTTTCCCCTTTTTTTCGGGCAGAAGATTGAAGATCGGAAGGAAGGGCGAGGAGGAATTGGGGGGGGGGGGTCGACTAGGAGGAAGGGGGCCACGGAGTGGTCAGGACTGGCTCCTCACACGAAGCAGAGTCGCCCAGGCAACTGCTAACTTGATTTCCGCCCTAAATTGGTGCCAGATGTCTAACGAGCCTTCCCCGTGGCCCCTGTTAACCCCTTCCTGTCCGGCTGCTTGGACCGGACAAAGTCCCCCCACCACGCCCCCCCCCGCCTCCCCCTCAAAAAATAATAAGGGGCACTTGCTGAGAACGTACGGTACACACGCGGTGAGAACGTAAGGTACACACGCGGTGAGAACGTACGGTACACACGCGGTGAGAACGTATGGTACACACGCTGTGAGAACGTACGGTACACACGCGGTGAGAACGTACGGTACACCCGAGGTGAGAACGTACGGTACACCAGGTGAGAACGTACGGTACACCAGGTGAGAATGTACGGTACACCAGGTGAGAACGTACGGTAGACACGCGGTGAGAACGTACGGTAGACACGCGGTGAGAACGTACGGTACACACGCGGTGAGAACGTACGGTACCACATGCGGTGAGAACGTACGGTACGACACGCGGTGAGAACGTACGGTACACACGCGGTGAGAACGTACGGTACACACGCGGTGAGAACGTACGGTACACACAACGGCAGCAAGGCACTGTTGAACTCTTGTCAACAGCGCAAACGAAAACACGTTTATGTACTTTAGGAAACGCAAAGTTGGTGTCGTAAACGACCTAAGGGTGGGACTGCCGGGGCGTTGCGAGTACACCAATCGCTCTCTCCGCTCGGAATGCCGTTACCGGAGTTCAGAAGCGGAGCGGTTTTTCCTTTCAGGGGTCGTGCCCCCCGCCCCCTCGCCCCCTCGCCCCCCATTTCCTCCAGCCCACCGCCCGTTCCCGTGACATGAACACGCGTCGCAGCGCGAGTCGTTGCCGTCCTCCGTCTCGCCGCGGCGTCCGCACCTCCCAGCGAGGCGACGCCGGGCAGCCCCGTCGCAATGACGACGGCGAACACAGCCCCAGGGGGGCGTGGGCAGTGGTGGCAGTCACAGGGCAGCGTAGCAGTTACACCGAGATCCAACAGAGTCACGCAGAGAGCCACAGTGCCACACAGAGATCTACACGGTGAGATGGAGATTCTCAGGGTTATATAGATATATGTATAGAGTTTAGATACTCACAGACTCTTATTATATCAGCTGGGTAAGGCCCAATTGAGCTCTTTGACAGGGACATCCACAGCCCAGGGAGCGTCGGCAGTGGCGTCAGTTACAGGACGTTGGGGTTAAATGGGGACCCGTAGAGTTACATAGAGAGCCATAGAGTTTTAAAGAGAACTCGCACCACAGCCCGGGAAGCGTCAGCAGCGGTGGCAGTTACAGAACATCGCAGGGTGGAGGGAATGTGCAAACTAGCAGGAGCAAAAACAACTACAAATTATTTGCAACGAGACCCAGGCCAGAAGAACACGGCGGTTCGACCCCGAATACTCAGTGGGGATCTCCGTGGGCGGACACCCCCCACCCCCCCCCCCCACCAACAAAAACCTCCAGCAGAAAAAACCTCCGCAACATCTCCATCAGTCTCAATTTTGTTTCGCCGGAGTCATTTAGAACGTGCTTGGCTATGTGGGTGTGCGTGTATTTATTAGATCTGTGTGTTTGTCTCTCCTCTTCTTAATTTCACGGCTCTCTCGACAAAAGCCAACGGAGAAGATGTGGAGCCGGGCTTCCAAGGGGTCTCCGTTGCCAATGCTGCCGCGTCCGGTGGAGACGACAAATCTGACAGAGTAATTTTACTTCACTCAAATTAAGGGCGTCCGTTTGGCGTAGATGACGGTGATTATTTACTGTTTTGTATTTACTACGTAAGGCCACAAATGATAGCTCAACGAAGTGGCGGCTCGTCACGTGGAAATGTACAGCAATCAAAGACTCTAAATGCACGTTGATTCTAAATGTGGAGGGAAAAACCGGAGGACCCGGAGAAAAATCCACGCAACCCACGGGGAGAACGTACAAACTCCAGATATACAGGCGCCAGAGTCGGGATCGAACCCACGACCTCCTGTATACCAAGCGAGGGAGTTAACATCTCCTAGCCACCGCGGAGGCCACTGACGGTCGCGTTTAAAGTGACGTGACAACACGCGGCAGGTGGGGCCACCGCGCTCAGGGGCTAGCGTCTCCCACCCGGCGGACCCCACAGCAAACCCGCTGTGGTCTGCGATCCTTCAACGGCGGAGGAGGAACAGCGACACGACACGAACGCTCTCTCTTTCTCTGCCGATGGCCTCTCGTTGTGGCCAGCGGCAGCCCTCGACATTGGCATCGAGCCCCAGAACCACACTGCCATCATACGCAAGAAGAGATTAGTTTAGTTTTTGTTTTGCTTTGGTACAGATGATCGTGATTGACTGACGTGATCTCTCGTGATTGATTGACGTGAACTCTCGTGATGTTCGAGAAGGGATAGAGATCCACAGGGTTACATGGAGATCTATAGCGAGAGGCTCGTAGACTCACACTTTATTATTTCAGCTGGCGAGGCCCCCATTGAGCTAAGCGGCTCTGTTACAGGGACGGCCACGGACCGAGCGCGTCGGCAGTAGTGGCAGATACAGCACCATTGCAGGCACACAGAGACCCATAAAGTTACACAGAGAGCCATAGAGTTACATAGAGACCCACAGAGTTACATAGAGACCCATAGAAAACAGAGCCATAGAGTTACACAGAGACC